TCCTGCTCCTCTGATGCTGCTTGGCCTGCTGTGTTCATCCAGCTCTGCATCTTGTTATTTAAGAATATTTGCCTGTTTATTCTCAATTTATGCTCCCTATGTTTACTTCCTTTTCTTTCACATCCACATGAGAATTAGTCACAGCATTTTAACCTTTATTTTAAATTCTGTTGTCGACTCGTTTTGCTAACTGATTATTTTGCATTGCAGATGCTGCACAACAAACATGTCATGGTTCGTGTCGGAGGGGGATGGGAGACATTTGAAGGCTACCTCCTGAAGCATGATCCCTGCCGGATGCTTCAGATTTCCAGAGTGGATGGCAAGACCTCTCCAGTCTCTAACAAGTCCCAGAATATTAAAGACCTGAGCCCTGACAGCTACCTTGTAGTAGCTGCCCATTACAGAAGCAGACGAGGGAGTACAACAAATAACAGTGGTAACTGGGGAACAAAGTGAACATGTGGTATTCTGCGTACTTTTTTTTGACCCAGTGATCCAATATACTAAAAGTCAAGCAGACCAAGAATAATCTAACTCAATCACTAAAATCTCTTTGGGCTTTTTTTAAATGAACCCAAATAGGGTGGGGACAAAAGAAAACTGTAGACTATTACCAGACTGAGGCAAAACCTAATGGGAATGATGTAAAGTGGACTTCTGGGATATTAATGCTTACAACGCATTGATGCAGAGCTTCAATTATTTCAACCTCATAATAGGCAAATTCATTGATTGGAAGGAGGTAGCAGTGCAGTAGCGATGACAGATGCTCTCCAATTTGCTCAGCTTTTGCATATCCTTCTTCTCTTATATCCATGCTATTCAATGGCTGTGTTAAACAGAATATTGGTGGTACATGTGCACCAATGACAATATACCAAACAGGAAGAGCTAAGTACTCTGCAAATCATCAGCATATATTGATTCGAATGTTTACAAATTGCTAAAGAGAATAAACCACATCACCTCAGTTCTACCATCCATATAATTATAACATTTGAGTTCAGGCTGCCTCCAAATTTTGAGCATTCTAAGCGCATTCTAAGACATTCCAGCCAAGTAGTATCATCCTTAGCACTATTTGATAGTCTCAGGCTATCTAGTGGGTTTAACATTGCCGTAGTACTTTGGATTATTTTCTCCAGCACATCAACTCAAGAGTAAAATTGCAAAATTCTGTACAGAATCATTTCTATTTCTTCAACTTTCTGCTTTGAAAATAACAAGGTAGAAGAGACCAGTTACAACCAATCAGAAGAATTAAAAGACAACTGTTAGCTCTAAATGGTTTGGCAGCTCATCTTTTGACCAAAATTAATTCAAAAAAATATTCTCAAATCAATACAGTGTTAATCCAAAGATACATTTCTACAGAAAGACTTTTTAGAAAAAAATTACCACAAATATAGAGCCAGATTACGGTAGGAAGAACAGCTACAGAATCCCAAATGCTGGATTATTACTTCATGAGCCTCCATCTTCCAGTTCCTTCAGCTACACCAAACCAGAAAAAATAGTCAATGTGCCTATAATCACTGCCAAATGCTGCTACTTTTCAAAATAATTGGGAGCATCAAATATCTCACTCCAACTACATGCATGCATATACACACATTTAATCTTATTCACAATGTGTTGAGTTCAAGAAGAGGGGGAGAACTCCGTTACTTGTATCATGATTCTAATATGCAAACAAGATAATTGCTCTATTGTGCAGGAATAACAGTAATTTGTTTGATGCATAACAATTTCTGAACATTAAAATAAACAGTAATCTTGTATTTACCATATCAATAAGCAGGATTCCTGAATAAGTTAAGCAAGAATCATGAACATAATGCAGATAGCCAATGCTGCTGGCTGAGCAGGAGCTTCTAATATATTATCTCTTTATTCTTCAGTTGCATGAATTAGTTGCACCATACAGAATGTAATTAATTCAATACATGAGAGGTGTTTGATTTTGTTTGCAGGAATACGTGCTTCTGCGTAGACCACATTTATTGTCACATCCCAAAACAAATCAAATTAAAATACTGCAGATGCTGAAAATGTAAAAGAAATACTGAAAATACTGAAAACAATTAAAGGTCAGGCATGAGTGAAAATAAGTCACTTTAGAATGAAGCAAGCTATCTCCACAATGTTTTTATGTTTACTCAAAATTATACAAAATTCACCAATACTTAATCAATAGTAAACAAAATACTTTAATAGGAGTGTAATGACAATGATATTTGGGTTAGGCCGTTTATCTGACTTTGCCATGGAAGAGGAAGACAGAAAAGGTACTTTTCTCTGAAGTACTCAAAATGATTGCATTTGACAGGAAATAATTACAAATCTGGACCTATAATCTGTACCTGTAAATTGCCAACTACAATACTATATGCATAAGACACACAAGACTAGAAAACGTTGTCAAGTACACATGGTAGGTACTGCAAAACACTGAGCTACTACAACATTATTTGAGAATAGTGACTAGGCTACAGTGAGCTAAAGACGATAATAAGCAGTGAGAAATTAGATGTTTGTTCTAAGAAAGACACGCACGCGCACACCCACACACAGATACAGACACATGCGCGCACACCCACAC